ATTTCCCACACAGATTTACCGTTTGACAGCTCACGCACTCGTACCGGAATCCGACGATGGGACACTTGCACCCTGTGCAAAGCACCCTGTCGCGCACTAAGGCTGCAAAGTAACGACCCCTTGCACAGTCTAAATGTCATGGACGGAGTGATGAAAGATGGAGGAATGGAAGGATGACCGAGCACTCACGCGCTGATGAAGGCTGATTCATTTCCGCGGCCGTGGAATTCGTCCGAGAGAACAGTCTAAGCATGGGATGGATGCTGTGGACCTTCCTCTCCTCGCAGGCAGGGCAGAGGTGGAAATCGGGGCAGGTGAGGCATCTGTAACGGAGGTCCGAGATGGCGTTTCCGCACTCGTCGCATGTCAAACCTGCGATCGCCATACGAAAAGGATGGAAGCCGATTTCGTCTCGGGCGGGTCATGCATTCGTCGTCGTTCGAGAGTCGTTTTTTGTTCAGTGAATTCAAGAAATGTCAACCCCTATTAAGAATTTCCTATTACTAACTTTGATCGCTTTTCCCAAACCCTTGTGACAGACAGTTATAACGTCACAAGATGGAGCATGTTATTAGGGTACAATGAAATTAATTTTAATTTCATCTCATGCATGTCATTTCATTCCGTGACCAGGAAAGTTATGGTAGTTTTACGGTAATTTTACGGTTTCAGGCTAAACTTGATTCCATGGGCTTTACAAATTATTAGCAGTAGAGGAATAGGCACTGCACGCACATCACCAAGAGTCTATTAAGTGGAAATAAGGTAGATTTAGAACCAGGTGGATGTCTCCCCATAGGCCACCTGCTGAAGTGATTTCCACCTGGTCAAAAATTCACCGAGGGAAGAACATCCACCTGGTTCGAGAATCACGCGTGCGACCAGGAGGATTTCCACTGCGTGGCACCTGGCACGTGGCACCTGGTTCCAGATCCACCTCCTATCCAATTGATCTTTCGGCCAGGTGGATGCGGGTGCACGTTTTGTAAGAGAAAAGTCAGAAAATATGAGAATGAAGGTAACGAGATCTGAGAAATGGGATATAGCGCATTGAGTGCCTGTGACCCAACCCCGCAAACAATTTGAAACACATAACGTTGAATCAGCAATGACCTTGTTGTTCATACAACGCAGGTCCAACGTAGCCTTGTTTGCTGGGAATATTGCAGAATTTTGGGCCAATATTGATCCAAAAAATCGGAGGCACTGGAGGCAGCTGCCCTGCTGACCATTGTCGCTTCTCGGCAAGGTTATTATTCCTGCTGCTGAACTTGCTGCAATATAGAGACATTTTTGCTATTGTGCCTCTCGCATTCACTCGAAAAGATCTGCCAACGTTCTGTATACGTTACGCTTCGGTTACAGGTTGCACATCTCCGCCCAGATCTTGTGAATGAGAGAGGAGCTTTTCTCCGCAATGCCTTATCGTCGCTCTTCATTATATTTCCTCTATTATTTTCCAGTTTTCTCTATTAAGCATCTCCCGAAAGGAATTTGGAATCTAGTATTCCATTGTGATACACGCCTAGTCAACGATTTTGCACAAATCAATATTGAGACCTTCGAGCTCGAGTATTCGTCCTCATCTGCACTCTGACATACCAACCAAATTGTCCAAATTGTTGAAAACAGCCCGCGTTGCACTGAGCTTACAGAGCTGTCTTGTCTTTTGAGGTCTGCTCTGTAAGCACTTCTCAACGGATCGACTTGAAAATCGGAAAACCGGCAATCGCAGAGATTACATATTGATCTAAATGCTTGAGCAGCGAGAAGTGCACTGCTTGTAGAATTAAAAATTTACAAACGATTCTTATTACTTTCCGGACACCCGAAGTATATACCCTAAATATTTGAATATGAATATATTTAAGCAAAAGCATACCCAGTAGATATTTGATGGTAAAAGCGGGCTCGGGCACCCGGAGCATGATGTGTTCCTTGTGCGTCTTCCTCGCCTCGCATTGGGGGCAATGGCCGTAGGATGGACACTGGAGGCAGACGTACCTCGGCTTCCCGCGGCACATCTCGCCGCAGCGGCAGAGGTAGGGAGCTCTCCCCGCTGCTGTCATTCTCGGAGCGGGATCTGCGAGAAAGGAATGTCGTCTTCGTTGTTCGGTCGCTTGGGTGATAATGACGCGCGTGGCGTTGCGCTAGCGGGGGAAGGTCGTTCCTGTAGACGACCGTTGTCTGGGGATGTACTCTCGAGGGCAATGGTTGTCTATGGCAATGATCTACAGGGTGATTGAAAAGTAACTCCCTATTTTTAAACGGACATAATTCATGTTGTAGGAAAGATTAAAAAAAAAACATTGTTCTAACGGCATTTTAAAGATAATTTTATGCCATTTTATGCCACATGGATTAAAACTCCACATGAGCCCCATCATTTTCCAGTTTTTCTTAAGCGAATGCTTCCATCGTCGCAACATTTTCTTCAACTCATGATGTCGATAGTCTTCCACTGTTTTGAATCAACCACCGAACCGGCTGAAAATGTTGCGACAGTGGCCGATGCCGTTAGAACGATGCTTTTATCTTTCCTACAACATGAGTTATGTCCGTTTAAGAATAGGGAGTTACTTTTCAATCACCCTTTACAGTGCGAGTAAATTTGACCCGAGTATGCTTGAATGGGAAAAACCGTCCTTAAAGTATTCAGGAACATCGAAAGGCGGAACTGCTTTCCCAAAAGAAATCTTCGTAATTACTGGGGATTTCTTCGGTGCAAATGAAGGGTGCAATTATTGGACTGCTCAATAGCCCCACGCGCGGTGAGCACGCACTCGGCAGGTTTCTTTGCTAAATTTGAGTTAGATCGTCTTGAATCTGATTCAAAATTTGAAACGGCAAAGCAGATATGTAAAATCTGAACTCATCGGAACTAACTGATATTAGTACCTGAATTGGATGGAAAGTATCAGAATTTGATGGTGAGTATCTGAACCCACCGCTTCCAAGGCGTAGTATCAGCCTTGCCTAATCAAAGAATTAACATTGATCCTCCCCTAACGCCAAGGCGATAGCACGTCTGTACCAATCGGAGGAGAACCTCCGAGAAAATAAATTTGAAAGTTCTTACCCGCTTGAGGAGAAGGCGTGAGCTGGTCGGAAGGGACTGGGACTTGGCTCTCACCTAAAGAGAGAACACCTGACGATCAGCATCATTATAGTTAAAGGAAAGTCGTGTCGTGGGTCGGCCCGGCAAAAATAGTCTCTCCTGCATTAGCAGTGGTTTTTGGCGTAAGGTTTCGGGGGATAAACTTTTGCACTGCAAGTGAAAATTTTCAGAACATTTTTTCACGGATGTTTCAAGCAACGACTTAGCTGATGGTCTTTGCGCTAGGTGAGGATTATAAACTCAGCAAAAAAACTTATATCAAATCAGGATGAATGAATATATGAATCTTCTGAGAATTAAATCGAATACAGCATAAATAACCAATTACCCTAGTAGCATATAACATATTCAACGTTGGTTCAACGTCTAGATGTTGAATCAACATTGAATAAATGTAGATTCTGTGTTATATGCTACTAGGGTATAAAAATAAAATTTTGGAAATCACTCACACTCCAAAGAAACTGACAGGAAACTCTTCAGCAACATGACGTGAACCGCTTTTAACGACATTGCATAAACAGATGGTTCAGAAAACATCAACGTTGACAGGCAAGTCTAACTCATTTCATGGACTTGGGGGAATTCGATTGGAGCCACGACATGCACGCGTTAGTTACTTGGAACAGAACGACATTCCTAACAACATTCCGAGCATTCCTTATTGTAATATCTTTGTGAAAATTTTCTGCATTTTGGTCCAGAATTGAAAAACTTGAGGCAGCTATTGCTCTCACGATATGCAAGCCACGTGGGAGTTTTTGAATGATAAGAATCACTGAATCACTACCATTTATGTACCATGCTCCAAACGATCAAGCAACAGTTTCTTCATCTTTATTTCATTAATGGCAGCTTTCTTCGCTTCCTGCCATGTAGGTAGCTTTTATGCTACTGCTGGTAAGTTTAATGCGGAAAATATTACTTACATTTGGGAGGCATCCTGAGCATGCGGTGTTGAAGATGCTTAGAAGCGGCTTCGCATCTCGTGCAGAGGTCGTAGTCCCGACACTTGAGGCACTTGTAGCGGTACCCTTTGATGCTCCCTTCGCATTCCGTGCAGGTTACACCGTGGTTCAGGCCTCAAATGATAGGAAATATATTGGTGTAACATTTGGAAAACGTGCAACATCAAAAATTTACTCTTCAATTGCCACCACTCACTTCAAAAAAATATCAATGTGAATCAAGAAATTGCTCAAATTTTCCCAATCTGTACATCTTTGCATTTAGCTGGCTTTGTCGGGTGGCCTTCATGAGGACATAAATACAGGGTGGGGCAAAGGTTACTATACAGTCCTTATATACTGAAAATAACTGTTTTGCTAACTTTGTCCTCTGTTTCAGAGTAATACTGTTGGACGAAGCTGATAGCTTTCGAAATTACTTTGCACGATCATTTTCCCGTGTTACTTGAGTTTTGCTGTAAGCAACGGTCAACATGGTGCTAGAATTTAAACCATCTTCAATATTCAACAACTGTAGAGTGACTTTTGCCCCGCTCTATATATAAAGATACCGTCTGGGAGGATGACCGAACCCCTCAGAACAATGGCACTGGGCTTGGAAAAGCGAATCATGGGGTGGTGTAAGTGCTGCTCCCCCAACTGCTCGCAGTCGCTGCAGAGGTTGAATTCGGGACACACGAGGCACTTGAACCTCCTACCTCTCACTCCTTGGTGACAAGAATCGCACATAACTCCTGGATGTTCTTCGGCTAGAGGGTAATGGGAAGACTAACGTAATAATCGTCGTTATCGACTTCCTTCTCTATCATATTCGTGAACGCATGTGAAGCAAAGTGTTAGCAATATGTCTGACGACTAATTAGAAGACAACGGGTTGCAATAACAAAGACTTTCTTCGGGTCTCCATGCAGATACATGCTGAAGGAAACAAGACCGAGATGATGGCATTAATAGTCCAATGAATACTTAAAGAGACAAATTCCCTATTAATTGCAGTTAATTATTTTATAATTGAAGTTGGCTCTTTACAAAATGTAACAGAACGCAACAAAAATGTTGACTTCCCAAAGACTTACCTGTCATGCCATCCAGGTCGGGAGTGAGATGGACAACGGGCATGCGAGATGGAAGTCTTATGAAGTGATGATCCGAATGCTCCGTCCCCCTGGTCTCGCAAGTGTGGCAGAGATCGATTTCTGGGCATTGCAGGCATTTGTAGCGACTTCCTCTTATTGGGCCATGGCAAGAGGCGCACTCCAAATTCTGATGAACGTCCCCTATAACATCAATGCAAACCCATGATCGTCATATTGAAGCCCCTTCATCTAATTATCAAGGGATTTTTCCATATTCGCTTGCAGGTGAGAATCAACACACGGTTTCCAAGTATTAGTTTCACTCCCAGTTCGTTCCCATCTTCCAGGGACCTATCTGAGAACCGAATCTTTGCAACCATCTTATAAAAAGCTCTTAAAAACCATCACCAGCAAGGGTGATTGTAGGGAGTGCCCTGAGTTAAAGGGAATAGCCGTGATATTGTAGATGACGAAATGCCTGCAAATCTCATTCACTATACGAGCACAAGTGGAGCTACATGCCTCAAGTGCTAGTTGGTAAGCAAGTGGACTGAATGCAGGATATACAGTGCAAAAACAATGCCGAACTCAAGGTGAGGATCATGATCAGGAACCACACTGAAAATTCCGGCATGGAAATTCCAGCAAAAAGGAGGCACCATTAGTGCTCTCTAGGCATAGCTTCTACACCATGTCACTTATGGTAACTGTTGCCCTGTAGGGCTTTTCCGAACCAATAGCAACTTTTCCTCTTTTGTGCAATTTCCACAACCATACTTCTTAGTACATTTTATGCGCATGGACTTTGCCTTAAGTAATATTCCATATTTTATTCCTGTTATTGCCAGCATTTCGTCAATATGCGTGGCAATGCTCCTTCAGTGCCCCTATTTCTCTGGCCTTTGCATAATGACTGAAATCCGCAGGTCTAACGTAGTCGTTTTTACTAGTATTCCGTTTCGATTTTTCGACCGTGGCGCAGTTATCGCTTCATCTGCACCTGCAAAACCCATCAGTTTCTCCTGAGATTCATGCTCGAAGTAATGCGAAAGCAAGCAGACGCCCTGAGAACCGAAAGCATGTATGAATGAGATCGGAAAACGAGATGGTGCTAAGGAGGACTCCCACCTGACACAGGGTGGAATGGGGGAGATGCGGAAGACTTGAGTCGGAGCATGTTGTGGCCAGTGTGGACGATGCCATCCGCCTCGCAAGTGGAGCAGATCATATAATCAACGCATTCCACGCACTTGTAGCAGACGCCAGTGATTCTCTCCCTGCAGCTGTGGCATGCACAGGCTATCTCGGTATCTGATGAAGGATTGTTTCGGGAATTATTCAGTCTAAAAATTTGAAACGCTGTTGAATGACCCTTACAATGAAGTAGGTAGATTTTGACGTTGAGATTTGCAAACTTACTGATTAAATTGCTAATATTGAATTCATCTAAATAACTTATTTCTGGTGAACCCAGCTGGACCAAGCGACACCATGAGAATCAGTCGAAATTTCATTAATTTTAATTAGATTAGATATCTGAAGTGCTGTGTTACAGAAAGTTAATGCTAATTTCCTACATGGAGACAGTGACGAAGGTCCCACTGATAAAATCATTTTCTCACTTCGTTAATGAATTGGTACGAGAGCCACGATGGCGGAAATGAATGAGGGACTTGGGCCAACGATAACGCGTAGATCACCGGTCGCCTAGTTCAGGATATCGCATGAAATTTGATTATTCGCATAACGATTATATACGCTGCCGCGTCCCTAGTCGAAGGATGACACGACAGAAAGATGCAACGAGAATAAAACTGGAATTTGCTATATTGCGAACTCGGAAATGGAAAGTTGCTGCTGACTATAACCGACTTAATGGCGAATTTATAAGTTCTAATTTCAGAAATTCCACTTCTTCATTCGGAGATCCTGTTTCAACATGTTCAAGGTTCTGGCACGTCTCTTGCTTCAGTCACTTCAGAAATCACTGGGCTACCGCTGGGCCGTCATTCTAGGATCAGGCTGCAGCTGAGGCCGAGACTAAGGTACATCCTACGACACTTTTATCTCACCTTCACTCTCTGAAGCAGGAGGTATGACCACGTGAGAAAGGGATCTAGATGGAGGTGGTGGCTCCACCACTCCCTTAGAGATAGTGGGCGTAAAGGCACCCCTTCCAGCTGCAGCCCCAGGCCTCTCATAATCCACAGGTCTTGAACCTAGAGCTGTATGTGCCAACTGAGTAGCAAACTGGTAAGAAATATCATTCCCTTCATTCGTAGGCACCTCTTCTTCCTGGAAAACAGCATGACACAGTAATGCAGGCTATTTCTACTTTCAGAAAGCTTCAGGTAATTCCAATAAACAGACTTACTGGTTACCCATTGGTCTCAATACCTTAAGAATAACACAAAAATAAAAATCCAAATGGCCCTGTTTCCATGCATTATGGGAGTAATGAATGTATTACAATATATACAACTCTAAAAAAAAAAAAGTATCCTTGAAACTATCAAGTCACACTACCAATTGGTGGATCTCCCACAATTCAAAAATAGACTCTTTAGTCGCTACAATAAAAAAAAAAGAATTTCGCAAATTATTTTCCAATGTCAAAGTAATGCCTACAATCAGAACGGCTGACACATACTAACTGTACTCTCCCCTCAAGTCACTACTTACCCTTGGAGGGCTAGGGTTACCAGTACCTCCCTGGAGACAAATATCTCTCCATTAATGGTTTATTGGTGATAAATCATTACCGTTCGAAACCACCTCACCACGCCAACTTTAAGGGCTGCACAATACGGCAAGGAAGCAGAGTCAAGTTTGATCCACATGAGAAGCAACGTCAATTGATGATTTCACATACTGAGATAGGAGTTTCCCGAGAATGAGAATCCTTGAGAGAGTGCTGCATTTCGCTTGAGGGGATTGAAGCAGCTCCGTCAGTTGTGCTGATCCAACTCCAAGCTACTTCGTTTTCATCACCGCTTTCACTTTTATCATCAAGAACATTGCGACCTGTCTCTGGATCAATGATGGCCAGTCGGATTCTATGCCGTGTTACCTCCTTGGGAGCACTGGAAACAGGAGGAGCCTGCGATACAGCACCAGGGGGGACTTGCCGCTTTGTTGCATTCATGGACAGCCCTTCCAGTGCCTGCATTTGGTTTTGATATATCACATTCTGAGGGGGGTAGAGGGCATCTGTAACAAATGAGAGGCTATGTGCTTAAATATAAGCAGCAAAGGCGCAATGAAGCAAATGTTTGAGATCAGTACTCTCACATTTCTGTGGAAACCGAGGAGTGGGATTAAATAAGAATGTTGACGCAGAAGGAAAGCCTCCAGGATTGGGAGGATGCTGCCGAGCTCCTGCCCCACCAAACTGGTAAGAAGATTCCAGTATATTTGCATGCTTAGCAGTATACACCATTGCCGTCTACATGGAACCAGGAGAGAACCGAATACATGAGACAACCTCAGTCATCACACAAAACGAATTGGGAAATATGGGGGAATCCCCATAAGAAGTAGACTACCTGATGTATACCTTTACACGATACATGACTGCAGTTGATCAGGGTACTTTATTGCAAGCCACTTGCCAGGAAACAAAGGGTTTCTCAGCAGAACCAAGATACCAACAAAGCACGTTTCAACTAATGCAACAATATATTTCAAGTGTTAAAACATGTGGTGTTTTACAACCGTTCAAAGCTGGAACACCGATGAGACTATCTACAATCTGCTAACCAACTGGACCCACACAGCAAAATCACCACAGGCAGATACGTCGAAAAATAATTGTTTCAGATTGGCTATCTCCCTTCTTTCATTTATATTTAAATAACTTTTTTTAACTCCCGACATAAAATTAATTTGCAAGGAATGCTCAACTTCGATGAAAACTCATGCTAGAAGCCTGAATTTGAAAGATAGCATGTCCATGGGTGCCTAATTGTGTCCAGTGCCATCATGGGAGCCCATTAGATAAGTCTCTGCTAGTAGAATAAGTGCTTATGGGCTTAACCAACTGTTGCGAAATGTCAAAAGTTACGTTAAACGCTGTGTAAATAAATGAGCAGCAAACAATCCNAGACACCCAGCAAGTCCGCAAGCTCTCGCGATGTTTGCCGGTTGTTGGCCTCCAGTGCCTCCTGCAAGGCAGAGTTATCAAACTCCGAAGGACGACCGGTGCGTGGCTGGTCTTCCAGGCTTTCATTTCCTTTCTGGAAGCGACTGTACCAATCATAGGCAGTGCTCTTGGACACAGTGTCCGGGTCAAACGCGGTATTGATGTCAGCGATGGAATTGGCTGCCATCTTCTTGATTCGGAAGTCATAAAGAAGAAGCAGGCGAACTTGCTCCTTAGTAAGAGGGTAGGGCTGGTTCATGGCTGGGGAGCACCAGGGCTGTAATAATATACGGTTGTATGCCGAAGGACACGACCTACTTATAAACACACGCAGAACATTCTAGCATGCTCTGGAAAAAAATTGTACTGGATATTCAAGAAATTCCAAGAAATTTCTTTCCAATCAGGGGCATAATAGTTCCAAAGCCTTTAATACTGTAACTTATGTTTAATAAGGAAAGACATTTTGATTAACTATGCCTTTCGGTTTAAATTCTCATTCAGGAAGACCAAAGTGCTTGATTCCATGCAAATGAAAACTACCTTTATGCTCAAGGCTACCTGATACTGAGATAACCTCTCATAATGACGCCCCAATGAAACATCATGCAAAGCCAAAAGGAATGAAGCCCCTTACATTGACAGGGATTTGTGGGACAGGAATGTGAGTGACCTGAGGCCCCTTGTTAGTCCCTGGCAATCCAGCCGCCATATTCAATGTGGACAACTGCTGATGATTCATTCTGATTTGCTGGACCTGCGGTCCTGGTTGCAGATGACGTGGTGCCCCATTTGCAGATGGATAAAACTGTTGATGCAAGGAAAATGAACAATTCTGACCTCAGTCTTCAAAGAGAGTCTTTTACACAAATACTGATAGTATTGTTAATACCTGGGGATGGGCATGTGTTCGTGGTCCAGGCTGCCTCTGATTGAACATCATTGATCCAGGTGGTTGTGTTGAAAATTGATTTGGGGTGTTCCCTAGAGCAGAACATGACCAAACTTTTATTCACGTTCATAAAATGAGAATATTTTGCAGCATGAAAAACAATCTTGCTAACCAAGAGGGGGCTGGGAGGAATGAATGGCTTGCTTGCTCATATCATTTGCAGACACGTTTTGGGCGACTCCACCTTGCTGTCGAAACAATGGGGGTAGCGTCTGGTTGACAGAGTAACCTCCGGGTACACCTGCGTACCCTTCTCCTGGAACACGCGAACAAACTTACTAAAGACATGCAGGTAATTTCTATTTAAAAAAAAAATTATACCGACGAGTATTGCAAACTGTCAGTTACAGAAATGAGATTCTCCTCAATTACACTTCAGAAGACCGTCATGATTTTTTCATCATTCATTGAAAGATTCATTGCACGGAAAATAATAAAGGAAAGGAGAAACAACTCACGTATAGTTCCTTGCACAGTGGCTCTCGTGCTATATCTTATTCAAGCATGGCGTCAAGGATCTTCGGGAGCTACCTTGCACAAATTTACATTCGCGTCGGATCGCTTGGTAGGTAGACTATAACGCCTTTGGCATTAGAATGCAATTACTAAACTATACGTTGAGCTTTTAACGTATGAATCTATACAGACTATTATGTAAATATTAGTCCTGATAAGTTAGTCCAGAGTCCAGAGATTAGTCCAGAGAAATTAATAGGCATCACATGGTTCCGATATCGGAAGACATCAAGGGTGAACCAGGAGGAGCAGCCACGAAAATTCCAATAGAGGACTGGTCCTGACCAAAGCCATCTACGTGAGATCGAGTTCACCAGACATGCCATCCTCGATTAAGCGTGATATTAAGTATCCATGAAGATAACACCTTCATTTCCTGATATATTTCATGATATTAGCCGTAATTAGCTGTCGTTCCTTAACATGTTGAAGTTATGTTGGATTCATGACTGCTTCTGCTTTCGTATTGGTGTCTGGATCTCCTATATTATAAATGTATGCTACATATTTGTGCTAAATCATGGGATGAAGTGAGACCGAAGCAGTAGTTTGAGGAGACTGCGATATGGTACAAAATGGAAATATCATGCGTGGACATCCTTACTGATGGCCTCCAACACGCATTTCATTTCTCAGAGGCAATCTCTCCTCAGGCGTCGTCGAAATGTTTCGGAAAACTCGAGATAGGTCTAATGTAACACGTTCTCACTGAAATGGTTCGTGAAGCTCGAAACAGGCTCTTAATCGGTCTAGCCCCAAATTGGCCTAATTAGGGTTAGGCCTTGGCCTAACGTTACTAAGTCCTGCAGAGAGTGAGGGGGGTTGAAGAAAGGGGGAAAGCCTTTGAGGAATGGTTTTCATGCGACTTCCTATTAACCATTACGTCAACCCTCTTGCCATCAGGTAGCAATGAAGTCCCAGAAGGCTTGGATTAGCAAGCACATCTTTTTTAGCAGAATGATACAAATAAAAAAAATTTCCACTACACTAACAAATTTAAGGCAAACTTTTGAAGGACATTAAATCCAAGATAACATCGGACATGTATCATCCAAAGCCAGCAAATTATTGATACATCCGTTCTAAAAATAGGGCTGACAAAAAGTCACATGTTCGGCATAGTATATCCAGCAAAATAAGAATTGCTCTTTGGATGGGTTTAAGAGTCAGAAATAATACTTGATTACATATACACAAACAAAATCTTTCAGCATGATTCCCAGGTGAGACTCTAGGGCATAACCAGAAACACAGACAGATTAGACACAGGCAAGTTACACAGATATGAGAACTTCATGGCCCTACCCCAATTCATTACGGTCTTGTTAGGCCTGCCATAGAACTGAATTCTATTCAAATTTTTTTTTCATGTGGCAAGACTTTACCAATAGGTATCGTTATAAGTAAGGATATACGAAATTCAGTCACGTCTGGCAAAGGTTCATTCTCATACAAAGTCTGGAAACAGCCACCCTGGAAGGGCTAGATCCTGACTTTTGTTACAGCTTATAAGTTGCTAGCACAATTTTCTTTTATTTTCCATGGTGTCTAATGTCTCTGTGCCTACCTTTGTACATGATTTATGAATTACGTCCATTACCCATAGAGAGCAGGGGATGTAATTTGTAAACCACGAAGTTCTAAAATGAACTCGAACAGGTATTTTAATTCAACTATTACAGCCATTTCGTCATATGCTACGTATTTGGTAATGTTATGATTGATCGATGCAATTTCTATGTACTGTAGAAAAATTATTCGTGACATCCCAGGTTAGGTCCAAGTTCGGAGATGAATGCCAGGCTAGAATTTCAAAATTCGAACAAATCATAGGCTACATCTGCGCCATAAAGCTGAAATAATAAACTAGGTCTAACGTTAGGCCCAAAATAGACAAAGGAGAAAAATTCAATAAAAAAGGATACTTGAGCGATATATCTTGGTCCGAACCCTTCTTGCTCATGCTGTGATATCTAATATTTGTTTTCTAGATATAGGGTTAAAAATCATTTCATGGGGCTGAGAAGCAGAGCGTGGATTCGCATTCGACCAGTCTCCGATTCTCGCATGGAAATAGCCTGAAACACGAGAACACTATTCACTCCATCACCCGCAGTGCTGTGCAAAACCTTTTTTGAACTATTCTTCAGAAACTTGATGCGTTTATTCCTGAAGCACGATAAATTCACACTCAACAGAAGCACTTGCAAGCACCTACTTTCTTCGTTTCCGCATGGAGACAACCCCCATATATTACGAGATTACGTCAGCTCCATGTGTCATACTTCTTTTTTCGATATTTGTGCATAATACATAAACCTTATCTGTGGGTCTCCCCACTGAGGCAAGAAGAGCTGCCTTATCTGCTGTTTCTTCAAAAAGAATTTCTTGCCAAGCCTGTTATCTACCATTCCCATACGTACTATGGGAAAATGGCTGATATTACGATTGGTCTGTCACTTTTCCCTCGTTCTGTCTGTCCGTAATATCCATAGCAGCCTAACTACTCGACTCAATGCGCATGTGCAGCTTTCCGCCTGGGTCAGGGTGCCAGTATAAGACTAAAACTTTCACTTCCCCATTATTATTATCAAAAAATGTACGAGTTCATGGGCACATATTGCGAACGAATTTATGAAAGGCATGTGTCATTTACATTTTGAACATTCATTGGACTAGGACGCACGGAAGGAGTTTGCCGAGTTTTAGCTCTAACGCTGATTTTCCATAATATGTATACCATAGAGAAGAGTGTTCTTTGACAGACCAAAAAATAGCATTCCTGTTCATATCTGAGTAGTTTGAGAAAGTTAAATTAGGTGAATTTTACAAGTGCAACTTGGGTTATTGGTTAACCTGTCTCTAAAAAATAAATAACAAGGAATGACGCCTGTGCAAGCTAAGTCAAGCAGCAAGAAAATAGATTTTAAGATCCAAGAGTTAAATTTCCTGACAATTTTCATTGTAATTTGTAAGGTTAAAAACCTTACAAATTTGAATTAAAACTTTGGGCCAAGCTGCTATTTCCCAAGCCGATTAATTTTTACATTAAGCAATTCTCTTTATTTGTATGCTGTGGTCATGGTGACTAGTCCAATGAATTCATTGGTGAATCACTACCTGATTTGCGTAATGATGGACGTAGGAGTAGGAAAGTTAGTAATATGATGCGACATTTGGTCGATTAGAATAGGCGCCAGTTTCCTTTTCTGCTTCCCTCCATTCACTCTGCTTTGCTTCAATCGTTTACTTTTCGTCTTTAACACGTTGACGACCAGCCTATTTTTGCTTGTCCGCCGTCCTGGCATCAGGACGCATGGTCCNCACGGCAATCATAGATACTACAGAGCCTGATGATCAATATGTGATCGCTAGATACTCGATATCTGCGCACAAGACGTTTTTTGTAACCTGCATCCTGCCATCAGGACGCATTGTCCCACGTGGCAAAAAATCTGCATCCTGGCATCAGGACGCATTGTCGCCAACGTGTTAAAGACATGCCAGGACGACGTCCACAGGGGTAGTTTCGCCAACTACACCAGTCTATCGAGGTCGGTTAGTTGGCATGATTGAGGTAGGTCATAGCATGCATCAGGTTGCGCATCGGCTAAGTGTACACTACTGTTCGGCGTTGGTGAACTCAGTATCAGAATAGGGCTAACCATGAACGGCAACGAAGATCAGGCCCCCCTCGCATCCCGACGCCCAGGGATGACCGGTATTTGAGGACGGAGATTCTCCAAGACCGAATCGCTTCTACCAGTGTTCACGGAAGGTACTGGTGGTGGGGACAGGTAGCCAGACAGGTCGTCTAGACCGCAGTCCCAGCTGGATTGCACGCCGGTACACAGTCCTGAAAGAAGTCCTTTGGCCCGTCCCCAGCCACCATCATGCCAGCTAACTGACCTCGATAGAACTGGTGAAGTTGGCGAAACTGTCCCTGTGGACGTCGTCCTGGTATGGCTTAAAAGACGAAAAGTAAACGATTGAAGCAAAGCAGAGTGAATGGAGGGAAGCAGAAAAGAAAACTGGCCTGATCAGTGTAGTTGCCCTTTTACCCATCCCTCGGGGCGTTCGGCTAGCTCGACAAGTTTCCCCTGCATCGCTTCATCCTATGACCTTGAAACTTTGCTTCATTGTACTAAACATCAGTAGAAGTTTCTGTTTCGCATTTCATTAATAAACTCCTTCTAGATGTTCTTTTCGGGCGATAAGTACGACCCTTCCAACCTCATTTAAATTGGGATATTTCGCAAGTTTTCTCTGCGAATATTCAACCTACGACCTTGAAACTAGCATCAATTTCATGACACGCTAATACGAGTATGTTTACCAAATTTCATCAAGATCGTTCAATTCCTCCTTGGCGTGACTTTTTTTGGCGAGGAGTATATATTGGCTGCACGAATAAGTGCATGGGCAGACAATGAACAAACTCATTTGAGATGGTCTTTGGTGAAGGAACATTCTTCCAGACGTAGTAGCAATATGTATTGGATTAGTGTTGCAATCAGAATCCAGAAACAGAAAAATTATGAAAGACTTGGCTGATATAGCCAAGTCTTTCATAATTTTTCGATGCAGTCCAACGTAATCCTTGCCTGGTACACCCGACTCAAAATGACTATGAAGAGAAGCTTGAAAAATGGCTGTAGAATGCCCACAAGCATATGAAACTAAGGCGAGATGATCCACTTCTTCCCAAAGTTCAATCAGCATTCAGCAATTCATAAGTATTTCATCTCTCATTGTTCAAATAGCTACTTATCTTCAGAGGGGAAACAAACAGTGTAGAGAACAACATATGAGTTATCAGCTGGGGACATCTGATTGAACAACTGTTTATGTAAGTGCGGATCCCCTTTTTTGCTACAATAACTGTGTGGTTTCTTTGATATACGAGATTTGATACAAAATTTTTAGGATATGACTTACCATTTTATTGTGAGCTGGGGTCTTGGAGTTATTTGCTGAGATTAACTTTCAAAGTAGTCCCCTTGGGAGTTCACACACCTCTGCCAGCGGTCCTGCAGCTTCTGGAAGCACCTCAAGTCATTTATTGGAATGGCTAGAGGTTCCTACGTCACATTTGTTTGGATAGTCTGGATGGCCTCAAACCTTCGGCCTTTCAGATGCATTTTCAACACCACAAACCTTGAACATCCTCCTTATTCGTAAAGTCTGACTCCGCATGATTTTCTTCCTGCTCCATAACCTGAAAATGCAACGTGACTGAGGACAAGTAGGAGACGACAGATTGCTAACAAAAAGGCTTTCCTTGGGTCTCAATTCCGATCAACGATGAAGGGAACAAGAACGAAACATTATTTGTCCAACGAGTATTGTACGAGACAAACTCCCCATTAACTGCAGGTGACAATGATTTTAAAACCTTAGCGACTTGCAGAAGACTAACCTGTTATATGCCATCCAAGTCGGGCGTGAGAGGGACAACGGGTGTGCGGGATGGAAGTCTCATGAAAAGGTGATGAGAGTGCTCGTTTCCCCTGGCCAAACACGAGGGGCAGAGGTCGATGTCTAGGCATTGCAGGCATTTGTAGCGACATCTTCTCACTGGGCCATGGCAAGAGACGCATTTCACGTTCTGGTGAACATCCCCTAAAACAACAATGCATGACCATGACCACCATATTAAAGCCCCTCCATTTTCTGGTTATCTGAGGATTTTTCTGCAATGGCGACAAGCACAAGGTGTCCCAGCATTACAGAGGCGGATACAGAAATTTTTCATAGGGGGGGGGGGCGGTTCCCAAATTTCTACCTACCCCCTCCCGGCCTACCACCATTCCTCGTCCTTTCGCCTTTATTTTTCGTCTGGGGGAAGAACTTGAGTATCTATTTAATTGGCTCCAATAAAATTTAATGCAGATGCAATTTTGAATAAATAAATCAAATGCTAACCTGGTCATGGGGGGGGGGTCGCCCCTACTACAAGGTAGTTTCAGTTTGTTCCCATCTTCCAGCGACCTGTTTAAGAATCGCATCGTGCAAACATTCTCAGAGGTCCGAATGTTTAAAACCATATGCAGCGCGTGTGATTGTAGGCACTAGGGGGCACTAGGAGTCAAAGCGTTGATATTGTACGGGGGTAAGTCAGAAAGTAAGGTTCCCGTCCATCTATCGGCAGGGTTTCGATAAGCTGATCAACTGTTACGACAAATGTCTCAACAAGTCTGGCGACTACGTGGGTAAATAATAAACGTATGTGGGGACATTTCCTGTATATTGTCTTCGGTGTAATTACCTGCTCTCTGAATAAAAATAAATAGGGAACCTTACTTTCTGACTTACCCTCGTAGTTGACGAAATACCTGCAAGACTCAGTCGCCATGGGAACAATAGTGGAGCCCCTGCCTTGAATGGATAGTTGCCAGGAATTGGGAATGGATGTAAGATATATAGCGCAAAGAGAGCAATGCCAAACTCAAGGTAAGGGCCATTATCAGGAACCAGACCAAGAAATCTGGCATGAATATTCCAGCAAAAACGAGGCGCCATCAATACTTTCTAGACATAGCTGTTACACCGTGACTCCTCTGGTAGCACTTGACCTGTGGCAATTTTTCCTGTTTAATGCAATTTCCACCCCAGACTTCTGTGTATTTTTTACGCATGGACCTAGCCTTAAATGATAAATAATATTTTCTCTCCGGTGTTGCCGCATTTCATACATATGCGTGGCAATTTTCCTTCAATGCCGCTAGATTCAATAGCATTCGCATAACGAGAGAAAGGAAATGAAGGCCTAATGTAACCTTTTCTTACCATTCATTTTCTATGCTGATGTGGACAAGTAACGCTAACTTTAGGCTGAAAGTAGAGAACAATTTAGAACTAGCGGTTAGGTTAAGGCAAAGGGTCTGGCCTCACTCCACAGACAGGACAAGCCGTCAGTGGGATGACTGATAACAAATGAAATACGGTGTTCAAGAAACAAGCATTGAATTAAAGTTAAATTATTAAGTTAAAAAATATCATAGTTGATGTCAGATTGAGGAACACTGGATAGGCAGGCTTACTGAGGCAGGTCCATAAGGCACACCGGATTTCCAGGGACGGAGGACGAAAGACGACAGAAAGAGTGCGGAAGACTGGCTGACTGAAGACTGAAGGACTCAATGCAGGAGACTCACTGACTTGAGGAAGACACACTGCCGTGGACGGAATCGCCTGGTTGGACGACGCGGGCGGCAGTTGAGACGGCGTGACCGGATGCCACTACCCACACTCTGAACACGGTAGAGGGTTACACAGAAATATCCCTGCCATGGGCATAGCCCGTGCAGGACCGCGGACAGGACGATACTCCCGCGGGAGCTCAGGGGGCTCTACTCCTGACATATTCGATTTTTTTATATTATTGCCCATACCCACTGAGCTAAAAAGAGAACTGGAGATGGCGCACAATACAATGGTTTTGGGGCAATTGGAAGCAATCTTAGTTGGGTCCGTGGTGGCTCTTCTCCATTCACTACAATGGGATTTTCATAATTTCCCATCCCAGTTTTCTTGCTGTCGTGATCATGATGGCAGGCAGTCATGGTATTGGAGGCCTAATAATTCTGGGGGAATATCAAAGGGCTGATAACGTCATGGAACTCTTCTTCCATGTGGGCGAGTCTCCTATTTCTCGAGTGGGCCTCCAAGTTCCAGGCCTGTCATTGCTGAGATTGCTGGGCCTACTAAGGCGATAACGTTACGCCGCCCTTGCATCATCACAGTCGACATATTTTACAGCCAGTCTAAGGCATAAAGTCAAACGAACTTCGAGTGAACGTTCAGTGGTAAACATAAGCTAAAGGAAACGAAGGGCGACACGAGGTGCATGGTAGAGGTGTTGGCGGGTATTGGCAGGACATGCTTCCGTATTCAGAAAGGCTGCTCAAGTGTTCCCGCGGTACTTGCTCCATTATTCGGCCAATGTTCACCGCAGGCCCGCTTTAGCCTAGACCCAACCAATATGGCTTCAAAATGCACCCGTTTTCCTTATGCTACACCTATGGGCGCGCCATCTCCAGTCCTATTTCTTTGCTCAGTGTATACACTACGTATTGTTCTGATCAGACTAATTTTAGCTCTTTCCAGGGAACAGTCCTCCCCTTCCTCCTCTGCAGATTACCCATATCTCCCATTCTCCCTGAAGATTAGGAAATACAGGTCAGAACCGACTTTTATCATCACGCTTAAGAATCTCATTATTGTCAATCCATGTGGTTCTCATAGGGAGGATGAGCTTGTCTATCACCTGGGGTCCATGGTTCTGTCTCGAATATGGGACAAGAAATGACTAAGTGTCCAGATTTTATTGATCGCTCTGATGAGACTAGGAAAGACATATTGTGAGGTACTAAACACTCCTGAGAGGGATGATTCCATGGGAAGGGGAAAGTGCACTTTTGTGTACTGTGCGAAAAGCGAGACCCATGCCGACATCTAGTGACCAAGAGGAGAAATTCAGCACCTCTCAAAAAATCTTCGGGCAACTTGGACACATTGGATCATCGCGTCAGTTTGATATTGGATCGATGATGGAATGGCAATATTGAGAAGCCAATATTTGGCCAATACATTGTCGGTATTGGCAATAATGGCAAGATATATAGACATCGTGCCCAATATTGGCCCAGCATGGAGCCAATATCTGATGTTTCTGGGGTGGTAAACCTGAATAGGTTCTTGGTCGTTTCCTGAAAAAAAAATTGTATTCCCTATTTGGCAATGCATGCTCCATGATACTACCATAAATATTATTCCAAAATGCGATTTAAGAAAGTATCATAGTGGCAAAACTCTGCTATCACTTTCACGCGACGTTGGCCTATGACCTTCAACGTCAATGACATTGTACTGACTCGAGGGGAACGTTCCCACAACGCTATGTTTGCTGGGTCGTTCATGCCAAACTGACGTAGGCGCACTCAAGGGCAAGAGGAAGTCACGAACGACTCGGGTGTAGCTGACGTATGATTAAAGTCTATTTTGAAATTCAGAGGTAGCTCAAACATCTCCACTATGGAGGAACAACCACTGTTTAAAGAGTCAATTCTAGATGTCGTAGACGACCGGACCTCTCAATCCTCCACTACATTCGGACGTTCCTCACCACTCACTGGCCTACTTGCCTTTGGCACAGCGACGAGGTGAAAAATTACAGGGTGTCCACCAAGTCTTGTCACCCCAGTAAGGTAGTGATTTTCTTCCTTTTTATCCCAGATTGAATGAAAATGTGTGACACCAGCAACTGTTGAAGAACGCATAGTGGCTAGTATGTAAATATGTGGGGGAAAAACATATGTACCTTAGTGTTATTAGCACATGCAAATATAAAGCAAATTACTTCGACATGACGCAGGAGTGACAAGACTTTGTGGACACCCTGTAGAAAAATTCAGCCTCAGCGACGTCACGAAAAAGATATTCGCGAGTATGGAATTCGTCATGTAGCGAAGAAGAAAGAATTCTTCATGGCAGGATTCGCTGGAGGAAGAGTGAGAGAGAGAGAGAGAACGACGATATCATCAGGCGAAAAGTGGGAGAAATGGAAAAAAATATGAGAAAAGAAGCTTGATCGGATGGACGTAGCTGAAAGAGAGAAGATAATGGAGGAAGGAGTCCTCGAAGAAGCGAAGGAAGACTTCGCAGGTAGCGAGAGAATCACCGAGAAGTCTTCGGTTACAGAACGGAGGGGGAAAATCATACGGTCGTTCCAAACGGGGAAATAGGACTTGGACAAAGACCCCTAAAAAAAAATTTTTGCTCATAATCCAAAAAAAAAGCTATTAGCCACTTCTCTCCTTTCTTCCTTTCTTTCACGCTCTCATGCACTTCAGCTGATTAATTTCATTACTATTTATTCCTGGCGGGTTTGTTCTTTGTGAACCAATTTCTCACCTATTGTGTACTCTTTTCTTTTCGATTTGTGTTGTGTACCCTTTTCTTTTTGTTTCTGTTTTAATATTCTGTCCCCCTAGAGGAGTATATTATGGGGTGGGGGTGGGGGTTGGCGCACCCGCTCTGTTGCTCTGCCCCCCTGACCCTTTAGCCAAAATACGCTCGTGTCCACTCCACTGTTTCATGTACTTTTGCCGGGTTTTCCTTCCTTTCCTTCCCCCTTAACCTGTCTCCTCCATACTCCTTTCTTTTTGTTTTTCATTATTTAATCCGACTCATCATGCTAAACTGACGTAGGCGCATTCAATTGTGACCCGAGTCATGACTCGTGGGTCACAGTTCAATGTTTGCATTGGGAATTCGAAAGGCATTTCAATCCAGATTGACACATCTTGTCAATGTCGACAATCCAGGCATAAATGGGTTTTGATATACCCAAAGCCAGCTGAAAACCATGAACCTCGAGTCATAACCCAAGTCAAAACTGAATGTGCCCAGTGTGAATCACTTTCAACATGCCATAGAAGCTGAATCGTATTGAAACTGATTGAAACTGGATGTGCTCGATGAACGGGATCCGGCAGCCCTGTGCTTCACCCTAGTGAACATGGCTGCGCGCTTGCGCATATGTTGGTTCTCATCTAAGGCCTAGAATACCACGATGCAGTGCTTTGCTCGTTCCTTGGGGATCATGGGTTCTTTGAGTCAAATATCACGTCTTTCATTGGAAGTACCCTATCCACCAACACATTGAAGTTGAATGGATTCATTTGCTTCGAGTTAGTTCACGTATTGTACCCCCCAAAATAATTACTCCCAAAGTAGGCTTGTTAGGAGTTATTAGCATTATGATCCGCCACAGTGGTATTCATGGATGCGAGTAGTGATGAGCAGGGAATTTTCTCTCATATTTTAAGTACCTTGCTGAATTCTCTTTGGTAGGTTAGGCCTGACCTAGGTCAAGGGTGATAGATCTACTCACTCGTTAAAAGATAGTGTGACTTTTAAACTCCTATCGACATAGTGCGTTCCCCTTCCTTCCTCATATCTTTCACACTTCAACTTTCTGTTCATAATATGTATATATTATTTTGTTTTTGTTGTGGATGGAACAGTGATGAAACATACACACCTAATTTACACCCAGAAGTCAGGTGGAAGAATTAGAAACAGCTGAGAAATGGGGGAGGGGGGGGGATGTAGAATAAGTAGCATTGTCTCCTCTCATATTCCAGAACCTGTGAAGTGTGCTAGCAAATATTCAAAAGTGGATGGGGGAATACTCTCCCCCTTTGGTTTATGGACAGAGCTAAGAATCAATGGTAGTCATATTTGCTGCTCGTATTTGCTTTTATTCTGAGTGGGGAAAGCTCATCACCAAGATGTGTGTTGTTACCAAGGTTGTGGTGGTGGCTTGGAAAGTTGCACTGTTAGCAAACTCATATTCCTATTCCTCCTTTGATTAGTTGGGTTCTGAACTTTGTGCCATTCTGTAATTTTTCCTTTTCTTTCAGGTTGATGTGTGAATTTTTGTAGAACCTAACATGGTCATTACTAAGGAACATTGGCTACCTTCTGAGGAAGAGCTTACTGTGGAAGAGGTAAAGATTGGCACACCCGCACTTCGTGCAGGATCGTTTCAGTATGGGAAGTACTGTGAGGATGTGAATAATGTGAGTTTCATGTGATCCTACATAATCTGTATTTCAGGCTAGGATCTGACTTGGCTGTGCTCACTATATCAATTAAATTTGGTTCTTGGATCTACTCTGGCCTTGCCAGAAATCTAAAGACAGAAACACTCAACATTTTTTGCATTAACTGTCAGTCATACCTCAAGCATAGTCCCCTTACTGAACCATATAATCCAGAATGAGGAACATAATCTTTTAAGCCTTAGAACTTGGAGTATCATCCTTATTAACAGCTCATGCATTCCCATCCTAGAGAACATTATTTGCTGTTGATCTTTGCATTTTCTAGAAGGAAAACACCAACCTGTATCATAACATCTGGCCTATAATATAGTGAAGACTCAAATCAAGTTATTGCCTCCACATGTTGCAAAGTATGAAGCTGGCCTTCATGATCCCTCTCACAGCCAATCATAGGGACAAAAATTCAGCAACTGAGAATGACTTAGATTCTTTTGGGAAAGAAGCTATGTGCAGCATCTACCTTGGCCTAATATGCCAAGCTGCATTTTGGCATATCATACATTGAACTTGGCATGAGATTGGTTTATGCTAATTCATGAACTGTGATCACTTGACCAAAAACAGAATTCTTATGGTCATAGTTGCTACTTGGCTATTCTATTCAACTAAAGAGGGCAAGGACCAAACCTTTCTGAGGCAAATTATCAACTTCATCATACCTACTTCTGTGTATCAAAATTAATTTTTCCACTCATACCGCAACTTGACCTTTGAACCATTGGCAATGACAAGGTTCATTTGAATGGGTTTTTCCTCTGCACTTTATAGCCTATTAAACTCACCATCTTTGATTTGCTGCTATATCTTGTGCTTGGATTACTATCTAGAGAAACAATGGCTTCTTCCACATGAAAAAGTTTTCTTCAATTTAAGTTTGTTTTAGTTAACTAAAACCAAACTTCCCTCACTTTCTCTTGTATGAACATCTCTCAGTATGTGAAGAATCAGTATCTTGACCATAGGAATATATTTATTTCATCCCTTACCAAAAAATTCTCAAATAAAACTATAGCCTCACTTCATTTCATTCATTTGCAGAGAGTAGCATACCAATGGACAGGCAGAAGAGCTCTGGCCTGATATTGGTGCTCTTAGTTTGTACCAATCTCTTGTCCTCTTAGAAGTTTTATTTTAAAAAAAAATTTGAATTGCTTTTGTGAAATCACTCATGCTGTAAAATGGATGAAGAAAAACAAGCAAGAATTTTAGAATTTTTTAGAGAACTCAGTGATTTATTTGTACAAAAACTTTCTTGTGCTACACCTTGTCTCATAAACAACACAATCTTATTAAGACAAACTGAAGCCATTCTATTCCATTCTACTAAGAATATTCATTTTGCTCCAGTAGGTCCAGAGCATTTGCAATTTCTAGGTAATGTTTCCATAGTACCATGCTGAGATAGTTTAAAAGCTATTGTAAATTGAGGGGAGATCATCTGTCTGAGCACTGCAAGAAGCTCATCAGTTTTGAGATATTTTTTTCTCCTTTAAGTCTGCTAGGAAAAATAATGTATTCATGCTTTTGTTCTCAATTTGCTACAGGAGTTCATGCTGTGCCGACTGGAAGAGAAAGATCCAAGGAAATGCTTGGGTCAGGGCAAGGAAGTGACTGCTTGTGCCCTGAAGTTCTTCCGCTTGGTCAAGAAGCATTGCCAGGAGGAGTTTCATCAGTATGCCAACTGCATTGACAAGTCTTCGGTGGACCTCAACCCTCGATAGTAAGGAAGTAAATGATGAATGGATGTGCAAGAATTAATATCTCTTCTTTACATTTTGTTCATTACCTACACAGCTGATCTATTTCAGCTTACAAATGAGTCTTTTTTATCAAAATTGTGAATTATAATAAGAACAGCATGAATTGGTATTCTATATTTCAAAACTTCAGGGGAAACTGTTGATGTTAATAGAATATTTCAAGAGAAGTGCCAGAAATAAATTTGAAGCAGGAGTTGCATGGTCAATGGTAATTTTTATATGATTTTCCATGTATGAAATCCAGATGTGGGACATTGTTTGCTGTGGAAAGAATGACAATAACCCTTGTGTATTTCTCATTACTCTTCTCCTATTGTGGAACAAATGGGAATGCCACCAATATATTATCTACTTGGATTGCGAATCATCCTTGAACAAGATATATACAGGCTGAAATGCAAAAATCAAGCACACCAAGCATTTATTTTTTATTTGGGAAACCCTTTCCTTTCCTCTGCTCTTTTCTCATCAGAGGAACAGTGAATAATTGGATTTGGTTTGCCACGTTTGAAGAACCCTGTCTTGAACTTGAAGCAATTATCTAAAGCATGGCAGAAATCCTGAGAGGAGTGTGGGAGCTGCAGATTCAGCTGTTGATGGCTCAGAAGTTGAAGAATGATATTGCTTCAGGGAATTTTCTTGGAAGTTCACATAGTGCTGGAATTGGTTTCTTCTATTGGATGTGAATGAAAAATAATTTCTGGCTATCAGGCCTCCTATCACCTGAAGTGCTCAAACCTTTTTACATCTATGCCCTATATAAGTGAACTTTTTTTCAGCTAGACTTTATGAACTTGTAGTTTGCACATTTCTTTGCATTGCTGAACTTACCAATGGGTCCCATATCATAGACTACTGAAGGTTTGTGCTTACATTGCAGATATGTATCACCCATTTCTATGGACTGTTCATTAAGTTCACAATGGTATTCCCTTCACACTGGAAATGCAAACTTCACTTGACAGTGCTTGCCAGGTCCATCATATTTACTCCTTTCTTGATTTCCAGCAGTAAGAATGCCTCTCCTGTGACAAATTGTCATCGTCTATCTAAATGATATATCTGGTGTATTTTCATTCTGATATGATGAATGGTACTTATGTGCTACAACTTTCAATCATGAGTAAGGAAACTGTATACCTGAATCAGCTAGGAACAGCATTAGTGCTGACATACATCTCTCCTTCAAGTTGCAGGAAGACACAGGCAGTCTACGACAAATGCATCTTAGAAAAGCTTGGGATAGAACGCCCAGAGTTTGGATACTTCTGCAGGTGGGTCACAATAAAATTATCTTCCTTGAATAAATTGATAGCAAATCAGCTTGGTTTTTTATCTCCTAACATCTATCATTAACTTTTCTTTGGCATCCTGTTCATGAGAAAGTATAACAGAATGTACCAATTGTATGGATACCTAGCTTTCAAAGTTTGCTGACATATATTCTGTATACCCCACAGGGCAAAGGTGCATGAGACGGATAGACCTCGGCCTGCTCCCTTTCCCAGAAAGCCTTTTGATGATGCACCCAATGAGTTACCTCCAGATTATGCAAGACCTGATGCTGCTCATGGAGGACGTGTTCTTTGGGGCAACTAGTTCAGAACATAGGCTCCTTTGTTGTGGAGTGAAGGTTGCAAAAAGAAGTAGTTCTGTTTATGTGATGTCATTGCGAATGCAATATCTATATAAAAGGAAACCCATTGATCAGTTTTCTGATGGAGTTCATTATTAAAAGAAATAGATCTGGTCTTCATTATGCTATTGCATATATTCCTTGTGTTTTCCTGTTTTCACTCTGGATGAATGAGGGAAAAGAGAAATGGAATGTATGGTTCAACAGGACAGTTCACTTTTTCATGAGTGCAGAGCAAGCACTTGTAGTGTTGATGAGCTGTTCTCTTTGCCATTCTGATGTGTATGCAGCTGATTTTTCTATCCATCAGTTGCTAGTCAAAATGCTAACTTGAAGACCTGCCTGCTATTCCCTGTTTTCAGGCAGAAGACAACCCTCAACCTCTATAATTAATTTTCAAAAATCCAGCAGCAAAAGATCACTTGAAGGGACATGGACAGTTTAGAGCTTAGTTGAAAAGGAATAGAAAAAATCTCCCCAGAGGTTGGTTCTCACCTGTGCTTGCTTGCACTCGCAGTTCCTTTAGCACAACTGTGGTATAATGCTCAGTGCAAACATACAGGTATGACAAAAGAAAGACCAAGAGCCTGAGTCATTTTATTTCAGGACTATTTTCATCAAATCTAACCATGTTTGGAGGGAATGAAGCATCCCATATTTTACTTAAGGCTAAACATTTTGGTGGAACAAAGATAATTGAAATTAAGGTTTGACCAATACTTTGCTGCAGGTCTGAAATTTCAAATGGGCAGAAGCTCCTGTACTTTGAAAATGTCTTTAGAGTGTCTGAAACTTTTTTTTCTTGAATTTCAATATACCAATTTTCCTGCCACTGCCTACTTTCAACTTCTTTTTTTAAGTGAAAAAAATGGACAGTGCGGGACAATTTATTTAAAAGTTAACACTTAAGAAGCAATAAAAAATGCTCATGACTCAAATACACAACGGGCCAAACTAGCTGTCTTCTGTTCAAATGCCACTGTGCATCTTCATTCCCAAGGCTGCATCACTACATATCTTGAATGGACCAGCTATTCATTTTAAATTTCCAACTTTTACTTTCATATGTATCACCATGTTTATTTTTAATATAAAATTTTCAGGATAACTAATTAAAAAGCCTATTTAAATTCCCATCAATTAGTGATAAATTGTTCAAACATTCCAGGCTCGGTCCTTGTTACTTTGCCCTAACCTGCAGAGAGGCTGCTGAATCTGATTTGAAGCACATTTTGGCAATCAAGGAAGTTACAGAATGCAGCAGAACATGCCTGACTCAAACTCTCCATTTACCATTTTCATGTTTCAGTAGTTGATTTAGAAGTATCAGTTACCCTTTCCAGAATCAACTTTTATTTGTGGGTTGTGAGCTTTATTTGGAAATTCGGAAATTTGGAAGGTTTCATGACTTCATCTGAGATCTTTCTGATAAGAAAATGATTTTAAAAAAGTGATTCTGTGAGGAACCAATTGACTCGAAAGTGTCAAAAACATTCCACGAACTTCTTGGTTGTCTTTGTTGCTGTTTAGTTTCCCTCTCAGATCTGTAGTATGTTTTGCCAGAATTCATTCGTTCCTGCTCCCAACTCCTACTTTTAACGAATAAGCTTACAGAAAAGGCACCATGAACCATGTGTAGTTGGGAAAGTCTTTGTTACATCTGGCATTGAGAAAGTTTTACGCAATGACTTCTGTTCCGAACTACGGAATGATCAGAATTGCAAAACCACAGCTAGATGCATGCAAAATGCAATATTCCTATTGAATTCATTAGGTTTGGGGACGAAAGTTTTCCAGTATGAAATATCCCCAATGAGAGAAGAGCAAATACACTTCGACCCATGCTCGATGCATCTTGAGGCGCTTTTACTTCATTTTCAGCTGTCGGAAAACGTGAGGAAAACTAACTCAGTATGGCAAGAGTGAGAGAGCGATGAAAACGAAGCCCGTTTGCTAACTCCAGTTTCTCTGCACAGATATTGTTTCAGTCTGGGGAGATTCGGCATAAAATCGTTATAAATAGTTATATATTTATATAAGGAGGGAAACAAAACAAAAAAGCGATGGGTGGATCGTTGTATGAGCCGGACCAACCGCCCAAGGCGTTTTTTCCTATTTCTCAACGGACTCCCCGAAAAGCGTCAATCGCCTTCCACACGATTCCCGCAATATCGGCCATCAGACAGAAATAAATGTTGGTCCAGGCTCAATTAGACTGGGATGGAACCTTGGCTTCTCGTGTGGTATCTGCTTGCACCACCAATCAACCATGAGCGAGTCGAGAGGAATACCAGGCTATGTATTTACTTAATTTCATTTATTAACTCTTCGGAACTCTGTGAGTAATGGCATACGTAGGTCCTGGAACTCCGAACTCCTGACAAAATGCTCCCCCCAGGCCGATCTGTCTAAGCCCTCCATCGATCACATTTGCAATCCAGGTTCCACACCCCAAAAGCACCGAGACGAAGGAGTTTCCCGCCATCCACGCAGGAACACAGCGACGACACCCCCCTCCCCCTCCCCCCCTCACTGGATGGCCAGTCCCAGAGTCTTCCAATTCCACATGATGATCATGGTACGGACGTCGTCGAACACCTTCTTCACGTTGTTCGTGTCCGTCGCAATCGTATAGTGCCAGTAACAGTCCTGTGAGTGGTGAACCTCTTCCGCGACCGGATTCGGGAACGGACCGTTCATGGTCGCGTTCTTCCTCGCCGGCTTCTTCTCGTTCACCACGGTATGCACTTGCGTCACCTTCTGCAGAAACGCGGGAAACGAACCCTTCTCAATTCCATCAATGATCTTTCGTCATCGTCGATGACCTTTCTTCAATCCCTCCCCGTTATTAATTCAACCTCCTCTCAGAACATCTACAGAAACGAAATAGGGCAGGCTTCCTCCCCTCTCAACACAGAATCGCTCCAGCAATTTTGAAGCTCTACCTCTTCGGAGTTGCGGAGAACACTCCATCTCGCTTTTTCATGTGAATTCATTCCTTTTTTTCTTCCCCCACCACCCCCCACACCCCGGGGTTAGGCACCTTCGACTGAGCGCTCGGCATGCCAATTCGGACAGAAATGTCTCTTCCGTGTCTCAACAGAAACATCGAACTTCCAACCATCTCCGTTCAAATTTACCTTTTCCTGTAAACGTAATTCAATACTACGTCATTCCGATACAGGGTGAACAAAACATAAAATCAGAAAATCATGGAAACGATCCGTTTCATTATCCACGAATCAGCCCGGTTCAGCTGATGATTTAAATGACAATCATGGTCAAGTTTACCTTAAAGAAATTTTAGCCCTAGAAGTAAAAAGGCATTTCGACCATCAACTCGAGCTTCAATTCTCGCTTTGCAATAGAAACATAAAACATAAAGCATCGACCTAAAAACCTTGAAACGGCCTTGCCGATTTTCGCGATTTCATCGTTTCATTTTTCGTGCAACTTTTCACGCTTGAATTATGAAAAAAAAGAAAGCCGACATCATACCTGCCTCACCTGCCCCCATTCCCCTAATTTCATCTCCCAGACGACATTTCAACCCGCCTCGTACCTTCATCGACACCCCGTACTCCCAGCAGTCGCACCTCGCAAGCCCTCACCTCGCAAGCCCTCGCAAGCCCTCACCTCGCAAGCCCTCGCAAGCCCTCACCTCGCAAGCCCTCGCAAGCCCTCACCTCGCAAGTCCTCGCAAGCCCTCGCCACTCGACAAGGGGACAAAAGACGGAGTGAAGTGGCCCGTTCGACCTCCTCGTTTCCTTCTTTCCTGTCGACACGGATTATCAGCTGACAGGGGAGGCTGCGTGTGTTGCACGGCAAGCATGCCTCCTCTCTTCCCCTCTCTTTTCAATCACGTTCCAAGTCTTATTTTGGCTCTGGCATTTCGTCCAAGGAATTTTGGGGGGTTTCTTTCGCAACTGAATATTCTTGTGCGAAAAAGACTGCTCGGTCTGCAGTGGCTCCTCGTGGGAACAATTGCGGATTAAGGGATGGCGAGCAGAAAAAGATTCGAGGGAGATGAAAGCCGCTGAAACCTTTGAGGGTATTTCGATTCGACATGCCTTAAAAATATCTCGCGTGCCTGTTCCAGATTCATGAGGACCCATGCAGGGCATGTTTGAATGTGCAGTTGTAACAGACATGTGCAGTTGTAACAGATATGTGCAGTTGTAACAGATATGTGCAGTTGTAACAGACATGTGCAGTTGTAACAGATATGTGCAGTTCTGAAATTCCAGATGGCTAATAAAAAAAGGTCCCAAACTTCGTGCGTCTGCAGACGGGACATCATAGTGAGCATCGTCTTGAAATTTTCAGCGTGTCATACCCAATATATGTAGATGGTTTCAGGAAATTTTCAATGAAATTTCCTGCTCTGAACATGAATTTCCATGCAAGTCGTCAAATGTGCAAGTGTGTCAGTGCGTTTGCCGGCGTGCTGCCTCGGCCCGCGATCCGAGGAGGACACATCCATGGAGGAAACATCCATGGAGGACACATCCATGGAGGAAACATCCATGGAGGACACATCCATGGAGGACTCATCCATGGAGGACCCAGCAAACATTTCTTTCATCGAGGTCAGGCGCGTTTCTTTGCACAATCGCTCTTTTAACATCGCGTGGGAGAAAATTTGTTCCTCACGTATTTTGCTACCAATTTCAATGAAATTTTTGTTACATTACCTGCAAGTACTGCATGTAAAAGTCTGCAAATTTCCTGTCGATGACTCGTATGTTACACCATTTGCAGGCGTGTATAATTCTGGACTTTCTTGGCCCACCCTGTATCTTGTGCAATTCAAAATGGGCAAGAATTACATTTTTAAACAAATATAACTCTTAAAACAGGGCGTTAACCCAACTATTTAAAGTTACCACCACCTTCCTGACTTTAAAACGGAGCTAAATCTAATTTTTCTT